TACCACCTGACACCCATTAGAATATCTATTATCAAAAAAGCAAGAGGTAACAAACGTTGGCAAGGGTGTGGAGAAAAAGGAACTCTTGTACCCTGTTGGTGAGAATGTAGATTGGTGTAGCAATTATGAGAAACAGTATCAAGATTACTAAAGAAATTAAAAATAGAATATATACTTCTCAATTTGCTGTATACCTTTGAACAATTTCTAGAGTCCTGAAGTGCTGCTTTTTTTGTTTTGGCCACTTTTATCAATGCTTTTGGGGGAGGAAATTTGTCAAGCTCCTCACTGTGTTTTTCTAGAAGTTTCAGCTCCAGACTCCCAAGGCTATACTTTGAGACACACTAGTGTACTAGTCTGTGGGGCTGCATGACTTGGGTTCATGTCCTAGGTGTACCACCTAATGATTATGTTCTTACAAAGTTACTTAGCATCTCTGAGCTTTAGTTAGTTGTCCTTGAGAATGATAATAACAATGAAAGTGAACATGAGAGTTACATGTATAGCAATTTTTAAAAACTATTGCTTAATATCTTACAATGTGGATAAACCACAGTTCATTTAGATATTCTTCCGCTTCCCCCACTGATAGACATTTAGTCTTTTTTCTAATTATTTTTACTATTATAAACATCGCTATTATAAATATCCTTACATGCAGCTCCACATGTGTGACACTTTCTATAAGATAAATACTGAGAGATGACCTACTATTTGCCCAAAGGAAAAGAAGTCATTATATCAAAAAGACACCTGTATGTGTATGTTTATCACAGCACAATTTACAATGGCAAGGATATGGAACTAACCTCAGTGCCCATCAACCAATAAGTGGATAAAGAAAAATATATATATAAATACACACATATATATGTGTGTATATATATTTATGTGTATATATATGTATACACACACACACACACACACACACACACCATGGAATACTACTCAGCCATAAACAGAATGAAATAATGTCTTTTGCAGCAACTTGGATGGAGCCAGAGGACATTATTCTAAATGGAGTAATTCAGGAATGGAAAACCAAATACTGTATGTTCTCAGTTATAAGTGGGAACTAAGCTATGTTATGCAAAGGCATACAGAGTGGTATAATGGACATTGGAGACTCAGAAGAGGGGGGGGGTTAGGGATAAAAAACTACATATTAGGTTTTGTGTACACTACTTGGATGATGGGAGCACTGAAATCCCTGACTTCACCACTATGCAATTCATCCATGTAACCAAAAACCACTTGAGCCCCAAAAGCTATTGAAATAAAAAATACTTATTAAAAGATAAAATAAATAAAGTCCAAGAGAAAAAAAGATAAATACTGAGAGGCAAATTTCTGGGTCAAATATGCACATTTTAAATTATTTTCATAGAAACTTGCTGATTGTCATCTAGTATAAATTTAACAATTTATACTCCTACTACCAATGTTTACAAGTATACATTTCCTCACATCCTTTAAAAAACATTTTAATCAGCCTTTAAAACTTTTGTTGCTATTATGGATATAAAATGGTATCACATTTTGGTTTAAATATCCATTTATTTGATTATTATTAAGGCTAGGGGCAGTTCGTATGTTTACCAGTCACTTCTAGTGACTTTCCTTTTTGATATCCTTTACCTATTTTTCTGTTGGGTTTTTATCTTTAATGATCACAGAAGTTTATTCTATATGCTGGAAATTAATCCTTTTATGTTAAAAACATTTTCCTTGTTACTTGTCTTTTAACTTTTTTTGTACATTGTTTGCAGAATAGAAGGTGTTTATTTTCATATAGACAAATTTATCTCTATGCTTTTTGTATCATATTAAAACAGACTTTCCTATCTCAATGTTGTCAACATATAATGTTTTATACTTTAAATTTTTTATACTTTAATCAATCAGAAATTTATTTTTTGAATTATATGAAGACGTAACTTTTTTTTTCTTTTCCCTTGTAAATTGGATATCATACTTTATTTACCTCTTCTAATTGAATAACCAGATGTATGGAAAGTCTTTGTTTTTTGTAATTTTTTATTTTGCAATAACTTCAAATTAACAGGAGGTTAGTTGCTAAAATAGTACAAGGGGCCTCCTGTATTAGTCTGTTCTCACATTGCCATAAATAACTGCCAGAACTGGTTAATTTATGAATAAAAGAAGTTTAATTGACATAGTTCCATAGGCTGTACAAGAAGCATGGCTAGGAGGCCTCAGGAAACTTACACTCTTGGTAGAAGGTAAAGGGGAAGCAAGCATATCTTTCCATTGTGGAGCAGGAGAGAGAAACGGCAAATGGGGAAGTGCTATACACTTTTAAACAACCAGATCTTGTGAGAACTCACTATCATGAGAGCAACAAGGGGAGAATTTGCCCCCGTGATCCAATCACCTCCCACCAGGTCCCTCCCCCAACATTGGGGATTACAATTAAACATGAGATTGGGGTGGAGACACAGAGCCAAACCATATAATTCCAACATTCCACACAGCCCCTCCCAAATCTTATGTCCTTTTCAAATTTCAAAACCAATCATGCCTTCCAACAGTCCCCTAAAGTCTTAACTAATTCCAGCACTAACTCAAAAGTTCAAGTCCAAAGTCTCATCTGAGTCAAGGCAAGTCTCTTCCACCTATGAGCCTGTAAATCAAAAACAAGTTTGTTTCTTCCAAGATACAATGGGGACACAGGCATTGGGTAAATGCTCCCATTCCAAATGAATGAAACTGGACAAAGCCAAGGGAGCACAGGGTCCCATGCAAGTTCAAGACCCAACAGGGCAGTCAGTAAATTTTAAAGCTCCAAGATAATCTCCTTTGACTCCATGTCTCACATTGAGGGCTTGTTGATGCAAGGGGTGGGCTCCCATGGCCTTGGGCAGCTCTACCCCTGTGACTTTGCAGGGTACAGTCTCCAAGGGTGCTTTCACAGTCTGGCATTGAGTGGCTGTGGCTTTTCCAAGTGCACGGTGCAAGTTATTGGTGGATCTACCATTCTGGGGTCTTAAGGATTGTAGCCCTCTTATCATAGTTCCACTAGGCAGTGCACCAGTGGAGGCTCTGTGTAGGGCCTCCAACTCCACATTTCCCCTCCACACTGTCCTAGTAGAGGTTCTCCATAAGGGCTCTGCCCCAGCAGACTTCTGTCTGGACATCCAGGCATTTCCATCCACCCTCTGAAATCTAGGTGGAGGCTCCCAAACCTCAACTCTTGCCTTCTGGACACCCATAGGCCCAGCAACGCATGGAAGCCACCAAGGCTTGGGGCTTGTATCCTCTGAAGAATGGCCCAAGCTGTTCCTTAGTCCCTTTTAACCATGGCTAGAGCTGGAACAGCTGAGACACACAGATATGGGACATGGGAGCCATGTCCCAAGGCTGCACAGAGCAGTGGGGCCCTGGGCCTGGCCCACAAAACTTTTTTTTCCCTCTAGGCCTCAGGGCCTGTGATGGGAGGGGCTGCTGCAAAGGTCTTTGACATGCCCTGGAGACATTTTCCCCATTGTCTTGGTTATTATCATTTGGATTCTCTTTGCTTATGGAAATTTCTGTAGCCTTGAATTCCTCCCCAGAAAAAAAAAAAGAAAATGTGCTTTTTTTTCCACCACATGGTCTCACTGCAAATTTTGCAACCTTTTATACCTGTTTCCCTTTTAAATATAGGTTCCAATTTCAAACCATCTCTGCAAATGCATATGAGCATACACTATTAGAAGCAGCCAGGCCACTTCTTGAACACTTTGCTGCTTAGACATTTCTTCTGCCAGATGCTCTAAATCAGCTCTCTCAAGTCAAAAGTTCCACAAATCCCTAGAGCAGGGACACAATGCTGCCAGTCTCTGATAAAGCATAGCAAGAATGACCTTTACTCCAGTTCCCAATAAGTTCCTCAGCTCCATCTGAGACCACCTCAGCATAGACTTCACTGTTTGCATCACTATCAGCATTTTGGTCAAAACTATTCAACAAGTCTCTATGAAGTTCCAAACATTCCCTTGCCTTTCTGTCTTCTTCTGAGCCCTCCAAACTGTTTCAATCTCTGCCTGCTATCCAGTCCCAAAGTCACTTCTACATTTTCAGGGAACTTTACAGCAATGCCCCACTTCTCTGGTAACAATTTTCTGTAGTAGTTCATTCTCACATGGCTATAAAGAGCTACCTGAGACTGGGTTCTTTATGAAGAAAAGAAGTTTAATTGACTCAGTTCTGTAGGCTGTACAGGAAGCATGGCTGGGAGGCCTCAGGAAACTTACAATCATGGTGTAAGGTGAGTGGAAGCAAGCACATCTTACTATGGCAAAGCAGGAGAAAGTGAAGGGGGAAGTGCTACACTCTTTTAAACAACCAAATCTCATGAGAGCTCAGTCACTTTCAGGAGAACAGCAAGGGGGAAGTTCGCTCCCATGATCTAATCACCTCCCACCAAGTCCCTCCCCCAACATTGGGGATTACAATTAAAAATGAGATTTGGGTGGGGGCATAGAGCCAAACCATATCACCTCCTATATATTCTCTACCCACCTATGCTTCCTTCTTTTGATACTTGAATTGTTTCATACTCGAAATTTAGTACTTTTATATATTTTGAGTTTATTTTGGTGACCTAGTGGCAACATGACATATAGACACAAATTTAACTTTTCCTAAGTTCTATCTAGTTGTCCCAACACCATTTATTTAGAAATTCATCTTTTGCCCAGTGACTTTTACTGTCACTTTATTGCATATCAGATTTTCATATCAATTTGGGTATGTTTCTGGGTTTTTTATATTCTTCCATTGTTTTATCTTCCTATTAAAGTACAACATTACATCATTTTAATTATAGAAGTTCTACAGTATATTTTAATATCTGATAAGGGACAAATCCCTCCCCTCAACCCTTATTGCTCTTGCTTATTTCTTGGTAGAAGACTTTTAGAAGGAAGTTTTCTGAATGCTGATTTTTTAAAAGTTATTTCAATAAATAGTTCTGATTTTCGTGATCTTTTCCCCAGAGCTGAAATATGCTAACACCGTGATGCGCTTTGATTATGTCTGGCTTCGAGACCACTGCCGCTCAGCATCATGCTACAACTCTAAGACTCATCAGCGCAGCCTGGACACAGCCAGTGTGGATTTATGTATCAAGCCAAAGACTATACATCTGGATGAGACCACACTCTTTTTTACTTGTGAGTGGGCAGGAGACTTGGTCTTCTTTGGGGGTACTCTTATAAAGAACAATTATTTTGTGGAAAATGGTTTGTTCCTTTCAAAAATAGGTTATTCTCTTAGTTACTTTTCTTTTTTTCTTGTTTTGGAAGGATTTTTTGAAACATTTTATTTTTTTCTTCAAATAAAGTTTTTACAATCCACAGCTAACATTATTCTTAATGGTGAGACTGAACGCTTTCCCTCTAAGACAGGGAACATGGCAAGGATGTCCACTCTTACCACTGTGATTTAACATCCACTCTCACCACTGTTGTTTATCATAGTACTGAAAATTCTATTACAGTAAGTCCAGAAAAATTAATAAAATACATACATATTAGAAAGGAAAAAATAAAACTCCTTATTTGCAGATATATGACAGCCTAACATAGACTACCTCAAGTAGCCTACAATAAAGCTATGAGAACTAATAAATGAGTTCAGTAAGGTCACAGGACACAAGATCAACACACAAATATCAATTGTATTTCTATGTGGAAACTGAAATGAAAAATGACCATTTCAATTGCTTCAAAGAAATTTTAATATTTAGCTATAATCTAACAAAATATGTATAGGATCTATATTATAAAAATTATTAAATGCTGATGAAAGAAACCAAAGAAGACAAATACTTGGAGAAGCAAATCATATTCATGGATTGGAAGACTCAACATAATAATGATGTCAGTTTTCTCCAAACTGATCTGTAGTTTTAATGCAATTCCTGTCAAAATAAAAGCAAGATTTTTTTTATAAACAAGCTTGTTCTAAAATTTAAATGAAATACACAGGCCCTAGGAGAGCCAGCACAATTATGAAAGTGAAGAATTAAATGGGAAGAAATCACTTCCTGATGTTAAAACTGCAGTAATCAAAACAGTGTGGTATTGGTGGAGGGACAGATACATAGATCAATGGAACAGAATAGAAAGCCCAGAAATAGATCCACAGAAATATAGGCAACTGATCTTTCGCAAAATTGCAAAAGCCATTCAATGGAGGAAGAATAGTCTTTTCTTTTCTTTTCTTTCTTTTCTTTTATTGGGGTGGCATATCCTTCTCTTCTTTACGACATGCATCCTCTTTATTGCGGCAAGCAATTACAGCTTGTTCATGCTGTCTGCTACAAACATTGCTGCAATGTACTATATTTTTTATTATATTTTTATTAATTTGTATTTATTTATTTTTCCAATTTATATTATTGCATTTTAGGTTTTGGGGTACATGTGAAGAGCATGCAAGATTGTTGCATAGGTACACACGTGGCAGTGTGATTTGCTGTCTTCCTCCCCATCACCTACACCTGGCATCTCTCCCCTTGCTATCTCTACCCAACTCCCCACCCCACACTGTCCCTCCCCTATTTCCCCCCAACTGACCCCAGTGTGTAGTGCTCCCCTCCCTGTGTCCATGTGTTCTCATTGTTCAACACC